TTTTTGCCCATAGGAATGCATTAAACGTGTTTTAATGTATTCCTATGGGCTTTTTTGTTCCGCATAGCGACGAATCCGTATAGCGTGTAGGATTTTGAGCATAACCTTGCTAGTGTGTGAAATGAGTGCAATTGTACAGTAATTGAAGCATTCTTTGGCACTGCCTTTCTTTGGGATTGGAATGTAGACTGATCTTTTCCAATCCTCTGGCCACTGTTGAGTTTTCCAAACTTGCTGGCATATTGAATGTAGCACCTTAACAGCATCATCTTTTAAGATTTTAAATAGTTCAACTGGAATGTCATCACCTCCACTGGCCTTGTTATTAGCCAGGCTTTCTAAGGCCCACTTGACTTCACTCTCCAGGATGTCTGGATCAAGGTCAGCAACTACATTGTCTGGGTTGTCTGGGGTATCCAAATCTTTCTGATATAATTCCTTTGTGTATTCTTGCCACCTCTTCTTGATGTCTTCTGCTTCTGTTAGGTTCCTCCCATTTTTGTCCTTTATCATGTCCATCTTTGCACAAAATGTTCCTCTAATATCTCCAATTTTCCTGAACAGATCTCTGGTTTTTCCTTTTCTGTTATTTTCCTGTATTTCTTTGCATTGTTCATTTAAGAAGGCCCTCTTGTCTCTCCTTGCTATTGACTTTCACAGTGGCACCCAAATCACAAGCAGAGGTCTGCTCCAAATGTTCACATAAAGGTGCCATGAAATAACATCTGTATTACACTGGTATAAGAAAGGGTTTCTGGATGCAGGTAACAGAGAATTGCTCCCTCTGGACATTTGTGCATGGGACTCAAGAGATGCATCATGGACTAGCATGCATGTGCACCATGTGCAGTCAGGAAGGAGTTTGTAGAAGCATATGATTGAAAATGGAACAGAACTCGAAAGCTATGCTTTTCTTGTTGATATGGAATAGTGTGATGGCCATGCTTTGGTGTCTGTTGTCACCTACATCATTAAAATGACAACAGATAATTAGCATCACCGTGTCAGTTGATCTAAGTGCATCTCAGATAGTTTGTTTTAGCTTACATCAGTCTGAACTATATTAAGAGCCTTCATGCTGTTTGTTCATTCTCTCTCTCTCTCTCTCTCTCTCTCTCTCTCTCTGTGTGTGTGTGTGTGTGTGTGTGTGTGTGTGTGTGTGTGTGTGTTTCCTTTGAGCAATAAATTCCACACAGACATTTACTCTTTAAAGGAAAAAATGTCCTTGGCTACTCTGTCAATTTTATTGCCATACGTTTACACTAAAAGCTTGCTCACAGAGGGAGACCACCCCAGGACATCAATACAAGTTTAGCATATACACACAGACCATTAATATGGCAGCTGCTGCTATTTGCTAATCTGGAGTTTGGAACTGACTCTGTTCCTCAAATGGAACATTATTACTCAGATTATATTTCTGTAGAGAGAAGGATATTTTCAGCTTGCTTTTAAGACTGGGTAAGTATCATCACACCATTGTGTTTAACATTAAGAACATTGATTTTCTCATTTTAACACGGAATATGAGGAAATGGATTGAGGGTAGTCAATAGAAAACTGACTGGCTAGTATGTCTGCATAGACATTTCTCTGTGTGTATGTTTGTGTGTATGTTAGTCTTTTGAGGCAAAGTTGGTGGTCTGACACTGCCACATACAGTAACCCATGGACATGTGATGCTCTAGTAAGCAACACATAAGCCCTGGAGCAGGGGCCAAGGGTTTGAACTAGAAGCATGCTTTGTGGGGCCTGGTCCAAAGTGCCCCAGAGACCCTGGATCTGGCAGGCCTGGCAGAAGAATATATTTCTGCAATGTTTCAGGGCCTCACAAGCCTTGGTGTGCTTCTCTCTGTAGCCTCTTCTGGTTTAGTTCTCTCCTTTTGAACTAAGGCAAGGTTGTGCAGTTTACAGTGATACCACATTCTGCTTCACTCCAGATCAAAGGATGTAGTTTAGAACCTTTTTCCAGACTACTGGCTGTTGGGTGACTGAAGGGGAAACAAGCTTACCACTTCTGTTTTACATATAGGGGGAGATGTGGAAGTGTGTCTGCTTACCATGACAATCTCTATAGCTGACCCCTATCAGGAGAACCCAAAAATGCAGGCAGCTGGATTAATCCATGACAACAAATGAGGAACATGTTTTTTGTAAAGCTAATGGCTCTTAAACTTCAAGACCAAAGCACCTTCAAATCCATTAAACCTGGGATAGTTTGCAACAATGTACTGTTTGTGAGGAAATAATTTTCTCCTCCAGCTGTTGTGAGGATTACAGCTAAATTCAGAGGGAAGAGGGTGAGTGACTGTATAGTCCCTGCTCCAAAAAAAAAAAAAAAAAAAAAAAAAAAAAAAAAAAGGGGTCTGTGGTTTCAACTCTGTGAGTCGTGGTGTCAGTACACCACTATTCCACATCATATAGTAATCAAAGTAATTTTACTCTCAGGCCAGGTATGAAGAGATTTAGGCGTATATCCCTCAGCTTCACATGAATGTCAGTGTTGTCTTGCAGTAAGCAACCAAAGGCTATGCAAGCTGTGCAGTCACTCCGTACAGACACTATGCCATTGATTTGTCACACAGGCTGTTGATTACTCGTGTTGTGCTTTTTACTCCAGCTTATCTCCTCCTTACGCTCCTCTCTTGCTCAACAGATTCTCTCCATGGGAATGATGACTGAATATTATCACTACTTTTTTACAACCCTGGTAAGACATTTTGATAAATTTGTGTCCATTACAGCAGAAGCAGCTGAAGATTTTCATCTCCCCCTGTGTTCTGCGTGTCACCGTAATAGATGAAATGTGCTAGCTAACAGCTGAGTATTAGCTGTTACTGGTAGAGCCATCTCATAATGGAGGTGGCCTGATACATCCGTCACCCTCACCAACCCTTTTCCCACCCCACTCTCATTTCTCTATGGCATAGTAAGGATAGTAATTACATGTCTGTGAAGCCATTTTTCAAAACCAGATTTCAAGGAAATGATGGGGGGTGAGGGTGGTTAGGAATGGAAAATACCACATCTGACTATTTCAGAGCTCACGACTATTTGATATTTAGCTCAGTTTAAGAGTGCTCTACATTCAGGAAATAAATTATTAGAGGATTAGATCCCCCTCTTTCCTTAGTTTTGTTCACTTGCAGCAAAGATTTGATTCAACCAAATTGCAGTGAAATTTACCTCTTATAGAAAGTCTGCAAAAGAGCATTACATTATTGTAACATACATTTCTCTGTGACTTCCTGGAACTCTGCTATTTGATGATTTTGAAGTCAGAGGTAATTTTAACTGATGAAGTTAGTCTACCACTTTTCTTAATGATTATATGGCTGTGGATTATGTTTAGTGTGTGGTTCTTGCACACAAAATGTTTAACATGCAAAGCCATTAAAATAACATTGGTTGCTTAATCTTTAGAAAGTCTCCTGGTATAATTTTCTTTTACGGAAATTGGCTTTTCCTTAAGTTCGAGCATTTTCAGAAGGGTTCTGTAGCTAATGTGTAGAAGACATTTGAGGTATATGGAAGGAAAACTATGTTTTTACCCTTTGCTAGGCTACTCAGTCTACCATAGGACTGCCTTATATCTTCCCATATAAGTTGCACCGTGGTTGCTTATAGCCAAAGGAGTTGTGAGTGGATAAAACAAGAAAACCTTCTTTCTCAGTGGAAGACTTGTGTGGCTACTATCTACCATAGGACTGCCTGTAAGTGGATAAAACAAGAAAACCTTTCTCAGTGGAAGACTTGTGTGGCTACTGTGACACCATCTTTGTTTGAACAACATTGAGTCTTGTGTCACCTTAAAGATTAGCAAATGTAATAGAAGGAAGTGGGCTACAGTTCACACAGGCTTATGCCATGTAAAAACTTGTTAGCCTTTAAGGTATCAGAAAAACTACTTGTTTTTGCTGCAATAAACTGTCAGTGTTCCCCCTGCCCCAAGACGGCTGTATTATAGAATCTATGTTTGCTTTGAATCATGTAATTTAACACCTTATTTGCTGTCTGTAAATACGAGAGATTTTAAATGGGGTGACTAGAATCCAATGCTGTTCTTCTACTGGGGGAATCCAGTGGAACCCAAATGGTACTGACCACCACCAGGTGGCACAGAGGGCTGCACGAAGAGAGGAGAGTTGGTTTCAGCCTGTGGTTCTTTGCCAGACTGCTAATATGAAGAAGATACTCCCCTTGAAACACATTTTACAACTCCTGGCAAATGTTTGTCACTTGGCATGGAGCATCCTACAAAATAATATCAATTAAATAATCCGTTATATATGACTGCTTTGCAAACGTCTCATGGGAATGGAACCATTTCTTCACCGATTTGACACATACATCAGACGCAGTTGCAGCAAGCCACCAACACTGGCAAAGGCACTAAATGCAGAGTTTGTACGTACGTAGTACAACTGGATTGTTCATTATTCTGCTGATACTTTTCTTTCCAAGGGCAAAAAGTATTCTTCAAATTGGCAGCCAAATTCTACACTATTCTTTATTTTTGTTTGTTTGTTTGCTTCATTTGTTTTATTTTTACCCTGTCTGCCTGTCAATGAAGAGACTCAAGGCTGGGAAAAGCTAAAAAAGTATACACAAATTTAAATTCACAATAAATTTGACTATTAATATTAAAATACAGTTATGTCTGTAACAATATTAAAAGCATCACTAGTTTAAAACAAGTTAAAATGATTTTTTAAAAATATGATGAAAATAGACTATGCTGCATCCCCCACTAAAAATGCCAATCCTGCTATGGCATTCAGTTAATTTTCAAGTGAAAGTGATAACTTTATTACAGGGATGATATGCACAAGCACCAGATATCCCCATATGTTTCCTTAAAAATGTAATATTCTGGATGTTCCATGTTGCAGCAAATCAGATATTTCATAAAGCCTATTCAGCTCATGGCTACTCGGATTTTATAATGAAAGCAATTTCTAGTGTGCTTTGAAAATACCTTTGAAAATACTTTTGGAAAATGTCTAGGTTTTGGTAGAAATTGTCAAAGTGAGGAACCGAGTTCCATATTCAGCTACACTATTTCATCTAGAAAAACATTTAAACCTCCATGAACAACCATGAAGATCAAAGCTGACCATAATCTGTCTCCATTCTGAATGTGTCTATTTTCTTTGTAAAGAAATAAGACAAGATCTCTAGTTAGGAATTGGGCAATGGCTGTGAAAGCAATTGATGCTAAAAAAATGTTGAAGTTGATTCATTTTGAGGAGCTACCTTTATCATTAACACTGTCTCTTTCTTTTTTTGTTTCAAAACCCACAACAAATCTTGGCAATAAAGGATTTGTTTGCACTAGACCTGGAACCCTACAGATATAGTGGAGTCAATATGACCGGCTTTCGTCTGCTCAACATCGATAATGCACAAGTTGCATCGGTTATTGAGAAGTGGTCCATGGAAAGGTTACAGGCGCCACCCAAGCCAGAGACTGGTCTCCTAGATGGCATGATGACTGTACGTGAAGGAAATATGTCTACTGTTTTGCATAAAACCACCCTATATCCACATTAAAATAAAAGGAGTTCATTTATTTTTTTATAATTTAGGAAAGCAAAACTGGGTGGGTTAAGAAGCAAAAGACTGATAAGTTTGTCCACAGACTTGGGTGTTTTTAAGGACAACTGAAATGTGTACTTCAGAGTGAACTAGTTTTTCAGAATGCAGTCATCTTATTACTACTGTTGCACAAAGGTTGTTTGGTTCCAGAATTGTGTTCATGAGAACAGAGCTCGGGAAGCGATATGTTCGGCAAACACAGCCCATGTAGTGCTTTTACAGACACCCACCATCATGTGGAAAGATAAGTGGTGTCAAATTAGATATGGGGGTATTCATATATGAATACCCCCGCACAGGTGGAGATAATGAGAGTCCAGACCCATGGTGCTGAACAGTCCACTCATCGATCCGCTGCTGCCGCGGGCTCTGCACTAGCATCCTATCGCTTCATTGCTTGCGATCGGCGAGCCATTATTTGACTTGACAGGGAGGCTTGTTGTCTTGCCTCCTGCCAGGAGTGGCTCGCTGATTGCGAGCAGTGGAGCGATAGGATGCTAGTGCAGAGCCCACAGCAGCAGCGGATTGGTAAGTGGACTGTCCAGCACCATGGGGCCAGCCCCTCATTATCTCTACCTGTGTGGAGGTATTTGTATACACATATGAATACCCCCATCTCTAGTGTCTAAGCCTCTGTGCCTTTGTTGAACAGTTCACACATTTACTCCATCAAAGATTCCAAACCTTTTACAGTAATACAAGTCAAATTCTGATGAAATACTGTATAGCTCTACCAGCAGAAGATTTTTTTCCCATTAAGAAAGCATCCTAAGTTTATAATATGAGAAGTGTAGGTTCTGTTCACTATTAAGGAAAGCTCTACAGGATGAAGATACTGCAGTATGTAGGAAGGGATGCCTTTAAATCACATCCTAGCTCTAGCTCTGGACATTTCCTTTCAAATGCCATCACCACAGATGAGAGACGTTCTTGAGCTGGACGGCAGGAAAGTTTTGCATTGCAACTTGCAATTCAGTATCCTTGGCATATTCTTTTGTGACATTAAGGTCCAGTACCATGGGCGATTAGAAGACAACAAGAGAGGCAGGCCAATGTGGGGCCAGCCGTCATGGCCACCCACTGCTGTAGGTACAAGGACAGCAGGTGTGAAATCAGAATGAAAAGCCCATCAGCCTTTTTTTACAGCAGCATCATATCTAAAAGCTTTTGCTTATGTGACAGACAAAAGAGGAGACAGGTACAAAAATCGCCAGAACAAAGATGGCGGTACGATTGTAGAAGGGTAGGTCAAAGTCAGCATGGCATTTTACTAACTGAGACAGAGCAACACATGATCACTCTCTCCACAAGTTAAGGTACATATTGACACAGTCGAGCTATTTTAAGGCAATTGGACAGATATTCAAATTTTTTTTCTCCTTGGCAATTAAAAAAACACACCATAGGAATAAAATTAAACCACAAATCATTTGTCTAAGGCAGCTATCTCACCATGCCTAAAAGCAGGGCTTGCCCCAGGTATAGCTTTCGTCATCCCCAAACCGTAAGGTATATACAGCAAAATCCTTTATCTATACCAGAGGACTCTTGCTCCTTCCATCTGGATAGATATTAAAAAGCCGGAATAAATGGGCATGTGTGGTGAAACAGTTCAAAATGGGGCTCATTGTAAGGTTTTTGGTTAAATATGAGCCCTGGGTCTGAAACATTGTTAAAGATATTAAGCTTAGTGCCTTAAGCACTGCTGATAAGCATCTCTTTAAATTGGTACTATTGATTGAATGCAGTCTTTAACTGATATGTCAAGAGTGATCCCAGATCTGTACTATAGTAAAGATTAGTTGATAAATTCAGATCATCTAAGATTGCAAAACTTTCCAGTACTTATAAGTAATTTATTTAGGTTAATGAAACAGAGAATTAATCTGTTAATTTCCCACAGGGTTTTATATGGTAGCATGTCTTAAAATGGGTTAGCTTAGCAGTTTATAAAGTACCTAATGAGTAAAGTCAATACTGTTCTATCCTGGTGGGCAATTTACTTTTGAATAATTGTGAAACTGTATAATAAACCATGTGCTTCATCAAATTCTTTAGTCTTCACCCATGACCATTGGTATAGACCTGTTCTTTAGCCATGGCCATTGATTTAGGCCTCTTAGGGTATGATCACATTAACAAGGGTCTCTCCTTAAGGAGCGGTCTCCCTTAAAGTGACCCTTCAGTCTGTTGGGGAATTGCTCCACCCTAAGTAGTAGTGGTAGTAGCTCTGCAACTGGATAAAAAAGGTTAAGTTCAGACATGGGTCTGGGTCATCCTGCAGCACAATTCCTTGTAAGTTGTGTGATTGCTGGGAAATATCTTTATGTAAAACTGTTTTTTATATATTCTCTGTTCTAATTTATGTTGTTAGCCACCTAGAGTGGTCTTAACTGACCAGATAGGCGGGATATTAATTAATTAATTAATTAATTAATTAATTAATT